TTTTTTTAAAGAATATTTTTTCAAGGCCTATCCAAGGCGTGGATTTTTTTGAAGAATATTTATTCAAGGTCTACCAAAGGCGTGGATTTTTTTGAAGAATATTTTTTCAAGGCCTATCCAAGGCGTGGATTTCAAGACCTACCAAAGGCGTGGATTTTTTAAAGAATATTTTTTCAAGGCCTACCAAAGGCGTGGACTTTTTAAAGAATATTTTTTCAAGGCCTACCAAAGGCGTGGACTTTTTAAAGAATATTTTTTCAAGGCCTACCAAAGGCGTGGACTTTTTAAATAATATTTTGCAGAAAATAATATTTTTTCAAGGCCTACCAAAGGCGTGGATTTTTTAAAGAATATTTTTTCAAGGCCTACCAAAGGCGTGGATTTTTTAAAGAATATTTTTTCAAGGCCTACCAAAGGCGTGGACTTTTTAAAGAATATTTTTTCAAGGCCTACCAAAGGCGTGGATTTTTAAAGGAATATTTTTTCAAGACCTACCAAAGGCGTGGATTTTTAAAAGAATATTTTTTCAAGGCCTACCAAAGGCGTGGATTTTTTTGAAGAATATTTTTCAAGGCCTACCAAAGGCCAGGATTTTTTTAAATAATATTTTTTTAAGGCCTACCAAAGGCCTGGATTTTTTTGAAGAATATTTTTTCAAGGCCTACCAAAGGCGTGGATTTTTTTGAAGAATATTTTTCAAGGCCTACCAAAGGCCAGGATTTTTTTAGATAATATTTTTTCAAGGCCTACCAAAGGCCTGGATTTTTTTGAAGAATATTTTTTCAAGGCCTACCAAAGGCGTGGACTTTTTAAAGAATATTTTTTCAAGGCCTACCAAAGGCGGGTATTTTTTAAAGAATATTTTTTCAAAGATTGGATTGTTTAAAGAACATTTTTTCAAGGCCTGGATTTTTTTAATGAATATTTTTTCAAGGATTGGATTTTTTAAAGAACATTTTTTCAAGGCCTGGATTTTTTAAAAAATATTTTCTCAAGGCCTGGATTTTTTTGAATATTACACCTATTATAAAATTATATTTTTAACTCTTGTGGTTATTCACTTGACTGGCTAAATTAAATGTTTTTTCACGACAGAGCTCCATCCGGACCACCGCCCCTCTTCTTTATCTCTTCCACATGATTTTATTCCCACACAATTTGTTGTGATTTATTGTAAAGTGTTCGAATCTTGTGGACCAAATAACTAGAGACGTGACGTCTGTCGGTGGCTCGGTTGGCTACGATATTAACACTATGACTCAAGGTTTAATTAACGTGGTTTATCTCTTCGGTCGGTTGTAAACAAACAATTATGGGAGGCAAATACGCTACAATTTGATGTTTGAAGCTGTGTGTGTAAAGTGTCGTCACTCGGCTACAAATTCCAACCTGCAAAGTGAGCTGTTGTTACTGTTGTTGTAACTCATTGAAAATGCAGACGACATACCCAAGTTGGCTCTCACAGAACTAAAACAACAACAAAAAACTGGAACGTAAAAAAGAAACTTACCGTAAATTCAGGTGACTCATCACTGCCATCAGCATTGGCTCTTTCATTGACTTGATGACCGCACACGTACCAAGTAACCTGAGCATCTGCGGGATAGACGCGAGCACAAAATGTGGCCCGTTTCGAGCCATCGCCGGTCATTAGTAGAGGTAAAGGTGACTTGAGTATGGCCAAGTCGGCTACTTCGGACTGCTGCTGCACTTCGTCGCTTCGCCGTTCAATGTTCAGGTTTGTGGATGTGGAGCATTGCAGGCCATGACTGGTAATGTGGCAGGTATAGAGGCCAGAATCTAAATCGAAGGCATCGAATAGACGTAAACACAACAAACCGTTCCCATGATCAATGTAGCTGTGGAAGGGGGAGAGGAAGAGAAGGGGAAAGAGAAAAAATAAATGTAGTTATTGGCAGCAATGCACTTGGCAAGCAGGTTGCTCGAGTTGTTGTTGTTGCTTTAGCTTGTGCGCGGTTTCAACTTACTTAAAATCTTCAGAGTCTTTGATCAGTTCACCATTGCGGCTCCATGTGTAGCTATAGGGCTGATTGCATTCCAATTCGAAGCACAAATCAATGATTTCACCTTCGCTGTAGTCCACCGCATCTGGCAGTGGTTTTCGGATTTTACAAATGGGTTCAATGCTGCCAGAGGTGACGCCGGTGCGTATGTCACCACAATTAACGCTGTCACTACTACTACCATCGTTTCCGTTGTCATTGTCAGCTTCACTTGGCCGAAATTTAACCACAGTTGAGGTTATAATCGGTTCATGGTCTTCACCCTCAATAACACAGCTATAAATGCCCTCATCCTCCTGGGTAACCTCATCGACTACCAAAAACACCTCACCTTCCTCGGCGGAGAATTGCATGTGGATCCTCTCATTCGCCACCAACTCCTCGCCATTATGATAGAACTTACACGAAGGCACTGAGGAACCTCGGAAACCGGCAGCCAAGGCCATGCGACCACCAATTGCCGTCGACGGACCCATTATTCTTCTATGCATGTAGGCATTTCTTCGCGAAGACGAAGCTCTAATACTCCTACCCGATGGAGATTTTGAATAACGTGAACTGCGAATAACATCCAGGCGGGCCGATGCCTCAATTCGTCCATAATCATTTTCCAGCGTGATGCGATACAATCCCGCATCTTCAAAGCCGACATCTTCAATTTCCAAATAACGTAGATCATCCACTTCCTTAACACGAATGCGACCCGTTGGCGTGACAATTAAACCATCCTTATCCCAGGTGGCCCAGGGTGTGGGATTACCACCAATGGCACATTGGAAGCGTACACTATCACCCTCCTCCACAACACGACTATTCGGTATGGCCAGGAATTTCGGTGCCGATATGGGTAAATGCAATTCCTGATTAATGCGGCGACTTTCGTTGATTTCAATACCCGAACTGCGATAGGAGAGGCGTCGGGATGGCGAGAAACTTCGGACCGGTGTTGAGCGTGGTGTCGACAACGGTGTCGAGTTGCTGGAGAGTAATGCAGCCGGACGAGACAATTGACGATTTACCATATTCTCCTTTTCCTCGGGTACATCAACAATGATGCAGGCAGAGGACAATGTTCGACCGATATTGTTCTTCGCAACACAAGTATATTCACCCTCATCTTCGGGGTAAATGCGTGGTATACGCAACATGGCCTTAATACCATCATAGGTCATATCATAATCTTTACCACTGGGCAGCACTCGGCCATCTTTTTCCCAAATGATAATCGGTTCGGGCAGACCCTCAACGTGCGCCTCCAATGTTATGGCATCACCATCACAACAGCGTAGATTCCTCAGAGAGCGTATGAAACGTGGTAATGTTTCAACATTTCTGGAAGAGAGGAGGGATGGAGGAAATTAAATAACGGTATTTAGAGGAAGAGTGAGAAGAGAAATGTGGCAAAACTTACCCATGTCGTATTGATCCTTTCTCCATTTGTTTTTGATTGAGAATATCTGAAAGGGAGATGAAGAAGAAAAGTTAAGTATTAAGTTTTGAGTAACAAAAGAATATTTTTTTCAGCACCCAAAATGAGCTTGGATTATTTCAAAATATTTTTTTCAGGCCTTGAATAAATCTTCTTTAAAAAATTTTAAGCCTTGGATAGGCCTTGAATTTTTTTTTAAAAATTTTTTAAGTATTAAATGTAGGCCTTGAATAAAAAAATCTTCTTTAAAAAATTTTTTTAAAAACCCTTGGATAGGCCTTGAATAAATCTTCTTTAAAAAATCCACCCCTTGGATAGGCCTTGAATAAATCTTCTTTAAAAAATCCACGCCTTGGATAGGCCTTGAATAAATCTTCTTTAAAAAATTTTAAGCCTTGGATAGGCCTTGAATAAATCTTCTTTAAAAAATTTTAAGCCTTGGATAGGCCTTGAATAAATCTTCTTTAAAAAATCCACGCCTTGGATAGGCCTTGAATAAATCTTCTTTAAAAAATCCACGCCTTGGATAGGCCTTGAATAAATCTCCTTTAAAAAATCCACGCCTTGGATAGGCCTTGAATAAATCTTCATTAAAAAATCCACGCCTTGGATAGGCCTTGAATAAATCTTCTTTAAAAAATCCACGCCTTGGATAGGCCTTGAATAAATCTTCTTTAAAAAATCCACGCCTTGGATATGCCTTGAATAAATCTTCTTTAAAAAATCTACGCCTTAGATAGGCCTTGAATAAATCTTCTTAAAAGAAATCCAGCCTTGGATAGGCCTTGAACAAATTGTTTAAAAAAATCCACGCCTTGGATAGGCCTTGAATAAATCCTTTTTAAAAAAATCCATGCCTTGGATAGGCTTTGAAAAAATATTATTTAAAAAAGCCTCCTATAGCTTTTGCAAAATATTCCTTAAGAATCGAATTTTTTTTATTTTCAATTCTTTAAGCAAATGGTCCATTATAAGATGACAAACCAACCATTGGACTGTACGAATACAACTCTGCATTCAAAGAAAGATACATTGTGTACAAATATAGTTGGCAACACTACTGGCTATGTTCATTATTGGTGCATGAATTGACTAAAAAAGCTAATTAAAGACATAAACACACACACACACACTCAATTCAGCAACAGTAGATAAATCTATAGATAAATATCTTTCAACAATTCAATTCTTTTGTATCTAATTATTACAGCTGAAATTATTTGTTCTCTCCCTTTCTCTCTCACACACATGTTTTCTTTAAATGTCTCCCCTTTAAACGGTTATTTTCTCCTCTCATTTGTTTGCTTCTCTGTTCACACTCTCACGCAAGTTGAACAACAAACACATACAGCAATCGATAAAATCGATTACTGCTAGTTGGCAACACTGTTTGCATTATGCAATCGATATATCCACATCTCTAGTCTCACATTTAGCTATCATCTCCAATAAAAGGAAAACATTTAATTCGTTCGGTGTTGTTTTGCTAAACAATTTTCTAAATAAAATATTAAAAATAATAAAAAAATTAAAACAAAAACATCTCCACCATGATTATTATGCACGTTGAATTGGAACCGGGCTATCGCAAGGCCGACATCAATAATTTACCCACAGTGAATAGTCAGACGGTATTTGATTTCATAGCAAAAGTTGCCAAGGGACAACAGAATTTAGTGAGGTAAATAAATAAATTCGGTTTCTAAATAGATTCCAATAAATCTTTTTGTAAACTTCTTTAGGCAACAAACTCAGGATGCCGATTTACGTGTGGACTACATACAAATACGCCGCCTGGCCGAAGAGACAGATGTTAAGGCTTTGGTATTCCCTGCCGCCACAGCATTAGCTTCCCGTGTGGAGGGACATGTGCGTGTCAGTATTAAAGTGGATACAAAGAAGCAGGCAATCACGGAATCGGTGTGTGAACGTTGCGCGGGAAGGGGTAGGTGAAAATGTTTTAGTTACTTTGTGTGCACAACGCAGGAGGAGGAGGAGGAGGAGGAGGTTTTGGCGATAAAGAAGAGGCACAACTTGTAACACCAGAACGGTGTGAAGTCACAGGCGAATAGGAAGTTGGTGCGTCCACGTCTGTTTGCAGTAGGCGAGCTGAAGAGAGTCTCTAAAGACCTCTATAGTCGAGATGAAGGGAGTATTTACAGAGAAGCCGAAGACGGTCTCTATAGACTGAAGGTCGTCTTTATAGTCCAGAACAGACAAGCCGATGGTCGTCTAGTATGGATGAGTCGATAGTCTTCTTCCACAAACGAGCTGATGGTCGTCTATAGATGTTTTCTTCGGAGGTTTTCAAGGTCGTCTTTAAAGTCCAGTTGGAGCAGTCTCTAATAGACAAGTCGATGGTCGTCTAGTATGGACGAGTCGATTGTCTTCTTTCATAAACGAGCTGATGGTCTTCCATAGAGGTTTTCTTCGGCGGAGGTGTGGATTTTTTAATGAATATTTTTTAGGGTCACCAGATGCGTGGATTATCTAATTTTTTTAGTCCAACCTTGAATTTTGAAAGGCGGATTTTCTAAAGAAAAGAATTGCCAAAGGCTCCAGAGGCTTGGATTTTTTAAAGAAAAAATTGGAAAAGGCCTCCGGAGGCCTGGATTTTTTTAAAAAAAATTGTCAAAGGCCTCCGGAGGCCTGAATTTTTTAAAGAAAAAATTGTCAAAGGCCTCCGGAGGCCTGGATTTTTTTAAAGAATATTTTTTCAAGAGAGAATCGCGATCAGCTCTCCTTTAGAGAGACTCGCGATCAACTCGCCTATAGAGAGACTCGCGATCAGCTCGCTTATAGAGAAACTCGCGATCAGTTTGCCTATAGAGAGACTCGCGATCAGTTTGCCTATAGAGAGACTCGCGATCAGTTTGCCTATAGAGAGACTCGCGATCAGTTCGCCTATAGAGAGACTCGCGATCAGTTCGCCTATAGAGAGACTCGCTTCAGCTCGCCTATAGAGAGACTCGCTTCAGCTCGCCTGTAGAGAGACTCGCTTCAGCTCGCCTATAGAGAGACTCGCTTCAGCTCGCCTATAGAGAGACTCGCTTCAGCTCGCCTATAGAGAGACTCGCTTCAGCTCGCCTATAGAGAGACTCGCTTCAGCTCGCCTATAGAGAGACTCGCTTCAGCTCGCCTATAGAGAGACTCGCTTCAGCTCGCCTATAGAGAGACTCGCTTCAGCTCGCCTATAGAGAGACTCGCTTCAGCTCGCCTATAGAGAGACTCGCTTCAGCTCGCCTTTAGAGAGACTCGCTTCAGCTCGCCTATGGAGATTCACTTCAGAACGCCTATAGAGAGACTCGCTTCAGCTCGCCTATGGAGATTCACTTCAGAACGCCTATAGATACTCGCTTCAACTCACCTATAGAGGCTCTCTTCAGCTATCCTATTGAGGATCTCTTTAGATCGTATTGAGGTTCAGTTTAGCCACTCTTCAAAGACCGCCACCGGCTCTTCTATAAAAATCCTTCTTTGTAGCACACAAAGTCAATTTTCTTTCCCATAAAAAATTAAAATGTATCATCATCCTCTTCATAGAATCCTGTCCCCACATTTTAACGCTAATATTTTGGCTGCATCGCAAAAGCACCGATACGGATACCCCAATTGTTCACGATTTTTGGGGTCATGAAACAGAATCACTAATGGAAGAAGGACGCATCGAATCGTTACGACTACGCGATATATTTGCTTGTGAAGAGTTACGTATGGAATGTGATGTAGAAGCCGCTGCGGTGACAGATGTCGAAGGTGCCGCATTCTTAGAAGCTGTTCTCGATGAAATGGAAGGCCAAGGGCTAAAAGATTCTGCCTTATATCGTCACTTTAGGGGAGTAATGGAAGAATTCGAACCCATATTTATACATCATAGCCTTTTGGATTGCAAAAATAATGGTATTAAAGATTCGAATACTTTCCTACAATATATGGAGGAGCAGTGTAAACAAGGCCTTTTCGATCGGGTTGCTGCCATTTCAAAAACCAGTTATAAAACCTCCTTGTGGCTGGAGACCCAATATATGAGACTGAGATGTTCGCTAATACATCGTATTGCCTCGCGGAAGGACACAATAGAAGATGAACAAATTTTAGAGGCTTTGTTTTGTAAAAATCGTGATTGCAACATTGAGGAGAAACAGCAGATGAAACAGCATAAACGTTTCATATTGAAACAAACTGAGAAATTGGAAAATAAAACCTATCATGAATGTGGCCTGCTGATTAGTGAAAGTTATCCGTACATTTGTGCCTCACCCGATGGCATAACCGATGATCATATTGTGGAGATAAAGGCACCAAAGACCGATGAGGAATTTGAAAAATATCTGGAGGGTCGGGAGACAATTGCTCCCAAATATATGGCCCAAATACAAATACAAATGTATACGGCAAATGTCACGAAGGCGTTGTATTGTGTGCTGAGTCCCACCTTTGATACAAATGGGGCGCTACATTATGTCTGGGTCCAGGCGGATATGGAATTTGTGGCAAGTTTACTAAGTGCGGCCGAAGACTTTTGGAAGGAGGTGGTATTTCCGCGATTGTCGAAAATTTATTTTTAAATTTGGAAACAAAAAACGTTTGTTTTTTTATTATTATTGTAAAATTATGTTATGTGCAACACACACTCACACAGACCACACCATCGCAAATCATTTTCATCGTTTTTTTCTTTTCTATTTTTTTAAATAGGAAACATAAATAAAAAAGAATTGTGTTTAGAAAACCCACCACTACCCATGTTGTATTATCTTTGGACTGGAAAGTTGTTTCCGTGTAAATGTGTGGGAAAGAATGTATTTTTTTTTTTGTTTTATAAGAAGAAACACAACAACAACACCGACTTACCTTTGGCAAATATTTGCAATGAAATTACAGCCTTTGTTTCGCCATGACAATTACTGGCAATAACAGAATAGGTACCGGTAAAATCCAATTTGGCATATGGTATTTCCAAACGATATTCGGGTCCCTCGCCAATGCGTCGGAAGTGGGGAGCGTCCTTGTAATATTCGGGCTGGAAGTAAAAGAATGCAAAATAATAAAAATTAGAAAAATAAAATCAAAATTCTTTATGAATGGTGGATTGTTGGTGCGGATTTTTTAAAGAATATTTTTTCAAGGCAGGGATTTTTTAAATAATATTTTTTGGAGGCCTTTACAAGGCGTGGATTTTTTAAAGAATATTTTTTGGAGGCCTTTACAAGGCGTGGATTTTTTAAAGAATATTTTTTGGAGGCCTTTACAAGGCGTGGATTTTTTAAAGAATATTTTTTGGAGGCCTTTACAAGGCGTGGATTTTTTAAAGAATATTTTTTGGAGGCCTTTACAAGGCGTGGATTTTTTAAAGAATATTTTTTGGAGGCCTTTACAAGGCGTGGATTTTTTAAAGAATATTTTTTGGAGGCCTTTACAAGGCGTGGATTTTTTAAAGAATATTTTTTGGAGGCCTTTACAAGGCGTGGATTTTTTAAAGAATATTTTTTGGAGGCCTTTACAAGGCGTGGATTTTTTAAAGAATATTTTTTGGAGGCCTTTACAAGGCGTGGATTTTTTAAAGAATATTTTTTGGAGGCCTTTACAAGGCGTGGATTTTTTAAAGAATATTTTTTGGAGGCCTTTACAAGGCGTGGATTTTTTAAAGAATATTTTTTGGAGGCCTTTACAAGGCGTGGATTTTTTAAAGAATATTTTTTGGAGGCCTTTACAAGGCGTGGATTTTTTAAAGAATATTTTTTGGAGGCCTTTACAAGGCGTGGATTTTTTAAAGAATATTTTTTGGAGGCCTTTACAAGGCGTGGATTTTTTAAAGAATATTTTTTGGAGGCCTTTACAAGGCGTGGATTTTTTAAAGAATATTTTTTGGAGGCCTTTACAAGGCGTGGATTTTTTAAAGAATATTTTTTGGAGGCCTTTACAAGGCGTGGATTTTTTAAAGAATATTTTTTCAAGGCCTATCCAAGGCGTCGATTTTTTAAAGAATATTTTTTGGAGGCCTTTACAAGGCGTCGATTTTTTAAAGAATATTTTTTGGAGGCCTTTACAAGGAGACTTCCTTTGAACTTTGTAAGGCGTGCATTTTTTAAAGAATATTTTTTCAAGGCCTATTCAAGGCGTGGATTTTTTAAAGAATATTTTTTGGAGGCCTTTACAAGGCGTGGATTTTTTAACGAATATTTTTTGGAGGCCTTTACAAGGCGTGGATTTTTTAAAGAATATTTTTTTGGAGACCTTTACAAGGCGTGGATTTTTTTAGAGGCATTTACAAGGCGTGGATTTTTTTAGAGGCATTTACAATGGTTTTAAAGAATAATTTTTAAGTATTAAAAAATCAATGGTCCAAGCAAAATCCGACTTCTTTTGAACTTTGTAAGGCGTGCATTTTTTAAAGAATATTTTTCAAATGCCGGAGAAGAATAATATTTTTCAAGACTCGTGTATAGAGATTCACATCAGCTCGATTCGATAAAGACGATTTTATAAAGGTGAGCTTCAGCTCATTTTTTAAAGAATATCTTTCTACGGAGACCTCCTTCATCACGTCTATTGAGACTTCATCTAGCTCATCTAAAGAGGACCTTTTCTGCTCGTATATAAAGACTTCCCATAGTTCCCATAGTTTTGAAGAATATTTTTTCAAGGCCTATCCAAGGCGTGCATTTTTTAAAGAATATTTTTTCAAGGCCTATTCAAGGCGTGGATTTTTTAAAGAATATTTTTTGGAGGCCTTTACAAGGCGTGGATTTTTTAACGAATATTTTTTGGAGGCCTTTACAAGGCGTGGATTTTTTTAGAGGCATTTACAAGGCGTGGATTTTTTTAGAGGCATTTACAATGGTTTTAAAGAATATTTTTTAAGTATTAAAAAATCAATGGTCCAAGCAAAATCCGACTTCTTTTGAACTTTGTAAGGCGTGCATTTTTTAAAGAATATTTTTCAAATGCCGGAGAAGAATAACATTTTTCAAGACTCGTGTATAGAGATTCACATCAGCTCGTCGATAAAGACGACCTCTATAAAGGTGAGCTTCAGCTCATTTATAAGAACGAAAGACGATCTTCAGCTCGTCTACGGAGACCTCCTTCATCACGTCTATTGAGACTTCATCTAGCTCATCTAAAGAGGCCCGTTTCTGCTCGTATATAAAGACTTCCCATAGTTGGCCCATAGAGACTCACTTTAGCTCGACTAGAAAATAATACAGCCCGTATATAGGGCTCCCTTCAGCTCGTCTACAAATACCCTATTCAGTATGACTATAGAGACTCCCTTCATTTCGTCTATAGAGATTCCCTTCAGGTCGTCTCTTGGGACTCAATTTAGCTCGTCTTTTGAGTCTACCTTCAGCTGATAAAGACATCCTCTAGCTGGTCTATAGAGACTACATTTAGTACTTCTATAGAGACTGCCTTTATCTCTATAGAAATCCCCTTCAGCTTTCAGGTTGTCTTTAAAGACTCCCATCGGGTTGTTATTTTCGAGTAAATATTTTACAAATGTATTTTGTCGTAGTATGAGAACAAATATTCCAAAGGACAGACATCTAGATATAGAGAGTGCGTTTACAGAATATTATTTTTAGTCTATGACGCGATCTCTCCAATCAACTTATGTTGGACGGGGTGGTGGAGAATCAGGAAGGTTGTTATGCACCCATATAGGCCTGTGTAGCACATTACTCAAATGTGGCTGCAATTTTGTTGTTGTTGTCTGCCAGCCAGCCAGTGAGCCCGAGCTTGGTTCCGAACATAAAATCCATGATTCATAAAATATGATTTTATTACAGTTAATAATTTGTTTAATGTTATTTTAATGCCATATAAGCTGAAATTCAATAGAAGCCAGTTTTTTTTTTGTCTGTTTGACGTTTGTTGGTTGGGTCGTTCATTGTCTGTCTGGTTGCGTTTCCAACGACCGATCGACCACAAAACGATGCAAAACGTCAGCAAAAGTGTGCGTTAAAAAAAAAGTGACGTCAATTGGTTTTGCGGGTTGGTTAGCTGGGCTGGCTGGCTGGCTTGTAGACAATTACAAATCACCAGCCGACCGAACGACCAAAATGGAACGCACAGGAAGACATGATATAAAGTGACAGCAAATAAAAATCATAGATTGGGTGTTTTTGGGTGTAGGGTAACTATAAAGAAACGATTTGGAGGTAATTCAAAGGATTGGACTGTGAGCCATTCCTTTTAGAGGATCAGGTGGTGGCGGTGGATTTCTATTAGGATAGTAGCCCAACTATCTAAAATGGCCTGAGATATATATTGCTTGTACTCCCAGTGATGATGAACGCTAAGGGTTAATAGATGTTGGTAGAGTGAGACTGGGATTATTTTGAATGAAGTACCTAATTGTTAGGGAAATATTGGTCATTGGTAGTTGCTGTTCTACTCAACGTAGTTCTATTTTTTTAATTTTAATTAAAATTACAAAAAGTCGTCGATCTGTATTGTTTGAGATCACACTGAAAATGCGAATGAAGAGGAGTATCGTGTTACATACCAGACATATAATATGTACCGTGTCATTAATACAACCCAAATTGAGGTTGTTTTATCACCCTTATCTCAGTTGTGCCAAAAAAAGGACTGTCGGAATTATGGACCCACTGCCCTGTACATTCGAAAGTAGCCACATCTATGATGTTCGTGTGATAAACAGTGTGACCTCAAGCGTTTTAGGTACAGTTGTAGATGGCGTTTAGCTCGTCTATGGAGTTACCCTTCACCTAGGCTATTAAAAATCCTCTTAGATCATTGATAGAGTTCTCCTCCAGCTCGTATGTAGTGTGTGCGAACAACATTATAAGACTATCGAATGTGACGCTTACAACACTGGGGTATATTGTGGTCGGAATTATGAATCTATCGACTTGCACATTTAAAAGTACCGATGCTGGTACCAAAACAGCGTCACAATAGCCAGAGTTCAGACCATATATAGAGACTGACTTCCGTTGACTGACTTATATTGAGAATCGTCTATAGAGACTTCCTGCAGCTCGTCTATAGCGAATATTATTAGCTCCCACCATGTACTCTACACAACAACTTCTATTGTCACTACTTGCAGGGCTACCTTCAGCTCATGTATAGAGACTTCAATCAGCTATAAAAACTACCACCAGCTCTAGGGGTCACATTCGATAGCATATACAAGTCGTCCGCGCATGCCACAGCTATTTGCGACAAAGTCAGGAGCATAAACAAGGTTCTCAAGTCGCTAGCCGGCAGCACTTGGGGAGCTGACAAGGAAACCTTGTTAACGACTTATAAGGCAATAGGCCGGTCTGTGGTAAACTATGCGGCGCCAGTGTGGTCCGCTAACGTTAGTGCAACGCAGTGGAAAAATCTTCAATCCTGCCAAAATGCCGCCTGAGGACTGCAACAGGATGTCTCCTCATGACTCCAATAGACCACTTGCATGAGGAGACGAAGATCCTTCCTGTGCGTCAACACAATAAGATGTTGTCGATGCAATACTTGCTTGGGTGTTATAGGAGCAGCCATCCGAACCGCTACCTAATGGATAGGGACCCACCACCCAGGCATGTCAGGAAGG